GCAACGTATTTTCTTTTATAATATAGTAATCGGAAATTGTTTTATCATCCTCCAAGTATATACCGTTGAAAATTAAACTTTGAAGATCTTTCAAAATATTTTCTTTATCTTGAATTTTCTGTTTAATAATATCAATAGTATCATTTCCTTTACATTCAAGCGTTATAGTTTTACCAGTGAGCGTTTTAACAAATATTTGACCACCAAAAGTACATAACTCTAAATTCAATATATTATTCCGTGAAATGTTATAGTCAAAAAGAGTTTTTCTATTCTTTAATTGTCTATTATCAAAAAAGATTCTCTGATGCCTTGATGGAACACTTTCCTTTAACTGAATTTTTTGTTTAATATATTCGATAGTATCACTTTCTTTACATTTGATCTGTATAATTTTGTCAGTATGCATTTTCACATAAATTTGTACGTTGTTGTCTTGAATCAATTTTTGTTTACGTATCTGGTTAAAATTGAATGAGTCTTTCATACCATTACTGTGAATGACATTGATTTGATGGGGTAAATGCAATCTGACTTGTTTGTTATTAATAATAGCATTCGAATTGCTGACACAAAATTGATTTTATAAATTAGTTAAAATCATTGCTTTATATTCTAAATTATATGGTTCTCTATTTACTTACCCATTGCAATTAATTGACATGTTAATCGAATTTACAGATTTTCTTGAATATAAGATGTTGTAAAGGTCTGGCTAATTTGAAAATTAGAAGATTTCAAAGTACTAGGACTAGGTTATCTAAGTGGTTTATTTGGATAGGTAGGTATTTATCGGATTATCATATTATCTGGATTTATTTATGAAGTTTTTATAAAATAATGGACAATAACAATCAATCGATTTATTTTAGTGACTTTTTGTAGTGCATATGTGGTTACTACCGGATTAATATTAAACTCTTGTTTTATTTGTTTTTTCTTTATTCCTCTTATAAACTTATGCATAAAGCTTTGTAATAGAATTTTCTCTTTTATCGAATTTGGAAAGTTTGTCAAACCAGTTTAATATAAAGCATGACTAGTGACGTAACATGCTACCCAATGTATATAAATTTAGTAATATTTTATAAGCTATCGAGCAACTGCATCCGGAATTGTATATTCATGCTTGTTACACTGACTTCTGAACTTATCCGCTGTCATGCTTCATCATAAAAAAAATGAAGTAACAACAAGTATAATAATAATAAATCATTTTATTTCTTTTTGGAATTTTTTACCATTTTTGTGCTAAAGTATATTCATGTTATTATAGCATGTTATTATAGCATAAAGATAACCACTATAATTGAGCGACTGTCAAAAAAAATTTTTGTTGCTCTAAAATTTATTCACATACATACGTACACACGCAAAATAGGAATTATTTTAAATCACATCATCTACTAATTTTGTAAGTATTCAGGCTTGCGTAACATTTAGCCATAATCCTTTGTTTTTCGTTAATTAATGAAATCATTCGTCTAACATTGATTGTAAAAATAAGACCATTAAGAATACAAAGAAATATGGTATTTCCAAATAAATTTTGAAGAAAAATATAAAACAGATGTTACTTCTTTTCTAAGTTTAATGTATGAAGTTACATTTTAAACGCTAATCAACTTTCAAATGTTATTTTTTTAAAAAAAATTTTATAGTAACGTCATTAATAATACAAGTATAAGTTTCTACACAAGTATTACTATTCTACTTACAATTATTTTTTTAAATTAAATCGACATTTCTTATTATGAACAAATTTCAGATTACGAAAATATATTATTTTATTATCTGGAAATGCCTAGTGCTCTCGCATAATTTCTACTTATATGTTGGTGTGTGTTATGTTATATTAACGAAAAAGTTTTAAAGACAATAGTTAATATCTTTTATATATGTGCCCCAGATGTCAATTGACCAAAATCATCAGCCTAAACAAATTAATTTGGACAGGACGTTTAGCTAAATTTTAGTAAATTGACATCTGGGCCGTCCCAATTGGCAATTGGGACAAATTTAAATTTACAAATTTGGGGCCACAACATATACAGTATATCTCAAATAAATAATGATGATATATTACAAATAACAAATGCTTACATATGATATCAGTTGGACTCATGAACACTGTTCTCAGGATAAATTTCTTGAAAATGTTGTGTAATAGATTCTTCTATGATATTGGAGCTAGTTTCCTGTAATATTGGCAGCAAATACGCTGGATCTTCGAAAATTTATGCGTACCGTAAAATAGAATTATGAATAAGAAAACATTAATAAAAAATAAACGTATATAAATAAAATACATGAGTAGTAAATAAGTCATGAGTATCAAAATGCATATAAAAAAGAATTATCATAGTCGATAGTTGATATTGAATCTGAATGCGTCAATTGAACCAATTTTTTAAAAAAGCACATTTGATAAACCCAATATAAGTTAAATAGAATCAACTTTGATAATTATACATACATTTAATACATAATTGGTCATTTTTTAATGAGATCATCCATATATCACTATTGTCACCGTATATTTCTAAGTTAGATATTTGTGTGAAGCCATTTTGAGAGGAGGTCATGAATCTACTACTATTATTTATTTCTAAGTTCAATAATTGCGTGGAATTATTCTGTGATTGTCTGTACTTGCATGGAGTTATTTTTCGATAACGTCATCCATCTGTCATTATTATCTGTTTTTTGTTCAAGTATTTGCATGGTGTCATATTGAGATTGAGTCATCGATTTATTACTATTATCCGTTCCTAAGTTCATTTCATTTGCGTGAAGCCATTTTGGAATGTGATCATCCGTCTATCGTTATTACTTCTTTCTAAGTTTAATTCAGATATTTGTGTAAAGTTATTTTGGAATAGGGCTACTGATTTGTTGCCGTAATCCATTTCTAAATTTAAGTCAAATGTTTGCGTGGAGCCATTTTGTGATGGGGTCATCCATATATTGCTATCATCTGTTTCTGAATTTAAGTCAAATAATTTTTGTTTGTCATTTTGGGATTGAAACATCCATCCATTACTATCATCTGTTTGAAAACTTAAATTAAATGGTTGCGCAAAGTTATATGTACCTATCTGGTTGTTGCTATATTTTTTTTCTAAGTTTAAGTAAGATATTTTTGTGGAGATA